GGCCCTGCCTCTGCAACCGCTGGGCTCCTGTATTGCCCCGAGCCGTGCCCTGCATCTCCCTGGGCTCCTGTATTGCCCTGGTCCCTGCCCTGAAACCTCCTGGGCTCCTGTATTGTCCTGGGCCCTGCCCTGCAACTGCCGGGCTCCTGCACTGCCCAGGCCCTGCCTCTGCAACCGCTGGGCTCCTGTATTGCCCCGAGCCGTGCCCTGCATCTCCCTGGGCTCCTGTATTGCCCTGGTCCCTGCCCTGAAACCTCCTGGGCTCCTGTATTGTCCTGGGCCCTGCCCTGCAACTGCCGGGCTCCTGCATTGCCCCAGGCCGTGCCCTGCATCTCCCCGGGCTCCTGTATTGCCCTGCGCCTGCTCCTGCGCAACCGCTGGGCTCCTGTATTGCCCCGAGCCGTGCCCTGCATCTCCCTGGGCTCCTGTATTGCCCTGGTCCCTGCCCTGAAACCTCCTGGGCTCCTGTATTGTCCTGGGCCCTGCCCTGCAACTGCCGGGCTCCTGCATTGCCCCAGGCCGTGCCCTGCATCTCCCCGGGCTCCTGTATTGCCCTGCGCCTGCTCCTGCAACCCCCTGGGCTCCTGTATTGCCCCAGTCCCTGCCCTGTATCCCCTGAGCACCTGTATTGCTCCAAGCCTTGCCTCTGCAACCCCCGGGCTCCTGTATAGCCCTTTGCCTGCCCCTGCAACAGCCGGGCTCCTGTACTGCCCCAGTCCCCGCCCCTGCAACCTCCTGGGCTCCTGTATTGTCCTGGGCCCTGCCCTGCAACTGCCGGGCTCCTGTATTGCCTTGGGCCCTGCCCTGCATCCCCCAGGCCCCTGTACTGCCCCAGTCCCTGCCCCTGCAGTCCCCTGGGCCCCTGTATTGCCCCGGGCCCTGCCTCTGCAACCCCCGGGCTCCTGTATTGCCCTGGTCTGTGTCCCAGCCCCACATTCCTCTGGGCTCCTGTATTGCCCCGGGCCTTGTGCCCATGGGGCTCTTATTTCACCCTGGTCTCCCTACATCACCCTGGGGCCACAGCTCCAGTTGGTCCAGCTTTGCCCTGGTCCCTGTACACTGTCCCTGTCCTCCTGCACCCACCGACATCCCTCCTGCATCTTCCCTATCTCCCCTCTTTGCATCTGCCCAGATCTCCCCAGCCAGCCAGCCCCTTTGCTGGACCAAGCCACAAGGCTGCTGCTGTCTCTGCTATGGGCTCCTCTTGGATGTGAAGCCCTGGAGATATGGGAAGGAATCCTCCCAGACTGGGAAGGAAGCAGCTCCAGGACTCCTCCTTGGGCACCTTCGCTGTGTTGCCTGTTCCTTCTCCCTGACCCAGCACCAATGCGCAGCAAATCATATCTCCAGCTGAAGGAATGTGCTGCAGAGAGCAGTCTGCTGCTGCCCCCCTCCTGCCAGCACTTCTCTTTCCAGGAAAACTGAAAGAGAGCTTAGAAATAGATGCTTGCTGCAGAGCTCTGTAGGTGGGAGGCACAACGTGCTGGAAACCGCTGCACCAGCCCAGGGCAAAGGCACTGCAGGGCATGGGCAGAGCCGAGGTGTCACCCAGGGCCAAGGCAAGGCTGGAGAAGGAAGTATCACATCGACCACCTGCATTTTCCCACATGCTTGCACCCAGAGAGTCTTTGCACCTAGGATAAGAGGAATCAGACCTTCCTTTATGGCTCTTGTCCCTTTCTTGGTGTGAACACACTTCTAGGACCACAACCTGGTGCATCCGTGCTCCTTCAGGTGCTGCTGCTTCTGCTGCTGGAGGTCACAGATCCATCCATCTGCTTAACCTGCTTGGCCATCCAAGCTTCTCCAAGCAGCATCCACCTTTCTCAGATGTGTCCTTGACCTGCTCTGAAGAGGGGGACAGGGTCCTCAGCTCATGGAGTGGCAATGCTGTCAGGTCCCTCACCTCACTGAGCCCTTTTGTGCAATTGCTCAATATGAATCAGTCAGGGCTCAAGAAAAACTGCCTTAAAAGCACCTATCATTTTTTGTAGCACTCTAACAGGTCCCAGAGCTTCCTGACAAACACAAGACTATGATGGCAAGCCTGAAACCTCCTGGAGTATCTCCACGGGCCCTAGAACATCCTGGCAAGCCCAGAGCATCCCAGGAAACTTGAAGCATCTTGGCAGACCTGTAGTATCCCAGCAGGACCCAGAGCCTCCTGACGTGCTTACCACTATGATGATAACCCTGGAGCCGCCCGACAGACCTGGAATATCCCCCACAGGCTCTAGAGTATCCCTGCAAGCCTAGAGCATCCCAGGAGATCTGTAGTATCTTGGCAGACCAGAAGCATCGCAGCAGGACTCAAAGCACCCTGCCAAGTCTTGGGAGCCTTCTGGCAGACCAACAACATCCCAGCAGGACCCAGAGCACCCTGCCAAGTCTTGGAAGCCTCTTGGCACACTCAGGACTATGATGATAACCACAGAGCTTCCTGGCAGACCTGGAGTATGCTCACAGGCTGTAGAGCATCCCGACAGGCCCAGAGCATCCCAGACCTCTAGCACCCTGGCAGACCTGAAGCCTCTTGGCAGAACCACAGCATGCCAGCAGGACCCAGGGCACCCTGCCAAGTCTTGAGAGTCTCCTGGCAGATCTGGAGCATCCCAGCAGGACCCAGAGCCTCCTGTCATGCTCAGAACTGTGATGATAACCCTGGAGCCTCCTGGCAGAGCTGGAATATCTCCTAGAACACCCAGCGAGCCCAGAGCATCCAGCAGGAGACTTGGAGCATTCTGACAGACCTGGAGCCTCCGGGCAGGCCCAGAGCATCCCAGCAGGACCCAGAGCACCCCGCCAAGTCTTGGG